TTGCCTTGCATGCCTGAGGCCCTGGGTTTGATTCCTCAGCACCACATAAGCAAAAAGAAAAAAGCCGGAAGTGGTGCTGTGGCTCAAGCGGTAGAGCGCTAGCCTTGAGGCTGAAGAGCTGAGGGACAGTGCCCAAGCCCAGAGTTCAGGCCCCACGACTGGACCCAAAAATAAATAAATAAATAAAAATAAAAAATAAAAAAATGTGTGCGCACGTGCACACATGCACGCACGCACACACAAATATATATTGGGGGACAGGGGGAAGTCTTTCTTTTTTGGTACTGGGGATTGAACCCAGGACGCTGCACTTGCTAGGCAAGCACTTTGCCACTGAGCTACATCCCAGTCCATAAAAGTTTTATTAGAGCGCAGCCATACTTACTTGTTTACATGGGTCTATGGCTGACTTTACATCTTGGAGCTAGAGTCCTGTCTGGCCCTCAGAACCTAAAATATCATCAGGCTCTTCCCAGAAACCTCTTGTTGACCCTAGCTTATAGCAGCAAATCATGAGGTAGCAGGTAAGCGGTGACTGGCCCATGAGGGGGAAGACATTATTGCACACAAGATAGTCTTGGGCCCTCCGGAGCTCTAGGAAGCCGGATTATGCTGCTAACTTTCAACTGTGGCTATCAGCCCTTCATATTTAACTCACATGGCTTAGCCTAAACACACTAATATATAGAAAGGCCTAGAAGCCATGACAAGGTGTGCCAGGATTTGCCATGGGATCACCATTTATCAAATGCAAGAAGTCCAAGGATGGACTCCCTGCTCTCCTACAAATAGAAAGGGGCTGTTATATAGAGACCACCCCCCTTGAGATATTAGTGAGGATAGTCTTAGACAGTCAAGGCCACGACAGAGTTGCCATATCGCAAAGGGCAGCTAGGCTGCTCAAGAAGCTTTGGCCTTGGTCCAGACACAGCTGCAATCCATCAGGTTGGAAAATGACACCACAATTAGGCTTTGGCATAGGGAGGGAGGAGGAATGAGTGGGCTGAAATTCCACTGACATGCATGAGGTGGGCAGGATGGGAAAGGGCGCCTGCTCCTGGGTGAGCCCGCCCTTCATCTTTACCGTAGTGTCCTATATTTTGCCAATCTACTGCTCTGCTCTGCAGCGATCCTGCCAAAGGAAAGAGTGTTTGAGAATCAAGAAAGGACAGCAAGAAGAGAAATAAAGCTGAGGAGAGAAATGGCAAAACCCAACCAGAGCTTCCATCAGAGCCACTGATTTTCCCCAGACAGAAATGGCTCCAGCACTTGAAAAGGTTTTATCTTTGGTAGGTGTAGAAGTGTGCAGAGAAAGGGATGGGAATAAAACCTCATTGATCCTTTTGGAATTCTGGGTCTCATTCCCTGGTATTCCAGATTTCAGGTGAGGAACTCCTGCTAAGCAGGATTCTAAAGAAAATTATTTCTACCCCTACCCCCTTGATTTTGTTCATCTTGTGGGCAACTTCCAGAAGAGACAGGCTGGCAGGAAACAGCCTCTGGCTCCCTGGGGCTGAGCCTGGAGGCTGCAAGGGAACAAGGTTCTGTTCTGGAAAAATAGCTGAGTCCCTGGCTCTTTCCAAACCCAACAGCCAAGTAAAGGTCATTCAAGGAGTACAAGGGTGAAGCAGAGATGCTGCTGCACCAACTGGAGCTCTGGTGGGACCCAGATTATTACAGGAGAAGTTTGTGCTGAACCCCTTGGTGAAGCACTCTGAAAGCTCACAATGGAGCTGGGTAAAAACGAGACCTTCGCTTCTCCCACAGGTTAATGGTCTTCCTGAGGTCTCCAGGATCTGACTGACCTAATTGGCAGCCATGTTGGGAGGCATGCTGTTGAGTCACAACCCTCCAAGAGAAGGCCTGGAGGGAGAAAGCAGGGCATGTCTAGAAATGATTTCTTCCAAAGGTGAAAGCAACTCTGACCTTTTCTTATGCATGGTAGAAAATCACCCAGGTTCTAATAAAGCCAAATCAATGAGTAACACCTATGTGACATTTAAATCTGCCTCCAAGTTTGTTCTGAAAGCCCAGCTGCTAGCTATCACATTAGGAGCTGACCATTTATTTGTGTGACTCTCAGGCTGTCTGCTTCCCAGGGCAGAGCTGGGGGCTCCCGGGCAGGTCTCTGCTGGGGGCCCCTGCAAAACTCTCACAGATTCTGCAGGGAGAACACAGACCTACACATGGGAAGAAAAACTCTGGATACTGTCAGGGGTCACAGGGGCATCATTCTAAGGGCCGGGAGGGGGGGGGGGAGGGTTGGATCCTCTGTGGCAGCAGAAAAGGGAATTTTTATACAGATAGCCTTCCAGCTTGTATCCTAACCCACTTTTACCTCTCATTCTAATGTGCAGGGACAATAATTAGTGTGCTTTTCACACATCTGCAGCTAACCATGGGGGCTCAGTCCTAGTTTAAAACATCTTATGTCTTCCATGTCGGGCTGGATTAAAGCATCAGCCTTGTTCTAAGGATATAGTCCTGCCATAAAACCTTGGTTTCCAAGCTGGGCTAACACACCCTGGAGCCCCCGCTCACCCTCAGCCTTACCTCTTGACTGCCTGCTGGGCCAGCATCCGATTGCCAGCCAGGAACGTCACACTGCCCAGGATGGCCAGGTACTTCAGGGTCTGGAACATGTTGAGCTGAGTCCAGTAGACATACATGAGCCCCAGCATAGCTACAAGAAAAGGTGTCATGACATCCAGGTAAGTAAAACAGCGACAATGCCTTGGGACAGGGGAGCTAGGAACAAGGCCTGCTGGGTCATGACAAGGTCTGTATGTATAGACCAGCTTGCTTTATCTCTTTTACCTGATGCCAGAAAATAGATGACTCAATGTATTTGTCTCTTAGCCTATCCAACTTGAAATCCAAGGATAAGAATCAGACTTCAGCTACTTTATCTTGATCCAGTGTTCTATTTACATTTATCTCTCTGCTTTTTATGTTACTTTTTTTAATTTGGCAGTTCTGAATTTTGAACTCAGGGCCTCATGCTTGCCTAGCCAGCACCTGGCCCTTATCTGCAGTCCTTATTTTTGAGACTGGTCTTACTTTCTGACGGGGCATGCGCCTGAACTGTGATCTGCCTATTTTAGTGTTCCTATCATAGCTGGGATGACAGGTGGTTGTGTGCCACCACACCCAAAATCTCATGAACTTTTCTGCCCATGATCCTCCCAATCTCACCTTCTCACATAGTTTAGGAGGACCGGCACTTGCCATTGTGTCCAACTATGGGTTTAGAAGGAATCTCACAAATTTTTGTGGTAAGGCTGGTCTTGAACCATGATCTATCTTTCTCAGCCTCACAAGTAGTGAGGATTATGAGAATGAGTAACTTGCATACAATTTATTTCTTTGTCTTTTTAATGTAGATGTGTTTTTGTTTTGTTTCATGTAAAACTTTATTGTATTTGAAATTATTTTTTTCTTTTGCCTCACATATACCAAGCAAAGGCTCTGCCACTGAGCTACATACTCAACCCCTTACGTTTCAAATTCCTAATGAAAAGCATTCAGGATATAAATAGATAAGCATCTTCTTTTTCATTACAAAGCTGGGTGCTGTTGGCTCACACCTATAATCCTAGCTACTCAGGAGGCTGAGATCTGAGGATAGATCATGGTTCAAAGCCAGTCCAGGAAGGAAATTGAGATTCTTCTCTCCAGTTAACCACCAGTAAACCAGAAGTGGTGCTTTGGCTCAAAGTGGTAGAGTGCTAGCCTTGAGCATTAAAGCTCAGAGACAGCACCCAGACTCTGAGTTCAAGTCCCATGACCACCACCACCAACAAAAAATGTTAACGATAATTTGCTACTATGAGTAGGAATGAAGCAAGAAGGACTGAGGAGAAAGGAGTAGCAAAAGTGTTTGGTGACAGCACTGACAGCCTAGTGGTTCTGGCCCAGGTTCTGCTATCACCAGCCATCTAATTTATGATTCCAAATTCTCTCACCTCCCAGGGGTAATTATGCCCTGTACACCCCCACTAGAGTTGCGAAGAGAACCAAGACACATGCACAATAAGCATACTGACAAGAAAAGTCAGGGCTACACTAATTTATATTCAGGTCTTGCACAGTTTAACCCATGAGAGCTATCACTCAAGTCCAATAACTTATTTGGAAAGAAAGGTCATACAGTCAGTTTTCGCCAGAAGGATGATAGATGAACTACAGAAGGATGATGGATGAACTACAGTAGGGCTGCTTAACCAGTTTTGAGGTCAAGGACACTGAAAATCTGATCAAAGCTATGGACTTTCTCTTTCCCCAGGGAAAAAAGGCACACATTTGCTTGGAGTAGAAGGACTTCACCTAAGGGTCCTTCCAAAAGGTACAGAGGTAATGACTCCTGAAATTACCAAGTACAGTGACATCTCAGTGAACTGCAAGGCAACACTGATCCAGTAGGGTCAAAGCCTCAGAAATGCTCGACTGGTTTACTATTGAGGCTGCTTTAGCCCAAAGTTCCCAGTTATCAATGCAGGATAGTGTATCTGTCTATGGAAGGGACTGTTTTCTATTACTGTCCAGATAGAGTCAGCAGCAAACGTGAAGATCAATACAGTGGAGAAAAGATAACCTTTGGAAAATGCACTAATACTCTTCATCAAGGAAGATGGCTCAGTGTAAAGATATGCTAAGTGAGTAATCTCTGGAAGCAAACGGGGCTATTAAGTGAGGGTAAATAGCCTGCCAACAGCCTCTAGTACAATGAGGCTCAATATAATGACAGCTGTTCTAAGCTGATGAGCCAAACAGGTTTATCATCATATTAACTGTCCTAAAAGGCCAGGAGGAAGAGGGAAATGTTATGCTATTAAGTCATTACAATTAATAGGTTATGGGCCTACTTAAAATGGCTTTTGTGCAGGCAGGCAAAATGTCAGAGGAGGTTAAATAGAATTAGCGGTCTGGGGCACTTACCAGCATGTCCCAGGTGAAAGATAATTGTGCTAGGAGCAAAAGTCAAGTTGGAGACATTGGCACCAATCCGGATCCACTGCATGATGGGAAGAAATAAATTAAGAAGACATTAGAACTTGAAAGAGAGACAATACACACCTGCCAAGGCTAAGCCAATGAACAGCGCCAGGCCTTTAATGTTCATGCATACTGGAAAGCCAGAATTTTTCCAAAGTGCAACCATCCTAATATAAGCCCTCAGGGAAAAGTGTTCCCTTTTTCTTTAGAAAGGCAGCTTGACACTACTCTCCAACAGGCATGGGTTCTGAACTTGAACACCATTTTTAATGATGGCAAACTCTTCTATTTTAAAACAGGTGCAGCCATGGAGCTGGAAGGTCAGAGACTGCTTTTATGAGGAAGGATCTGACACTTCAACTACATTTTCTCCTAACAGAGACACACAGGTAGCTGGCAGTTGCCTGCTCTCACTGCAGGTTCTTTGCTTCCTGAAATGCCAGTCACTTAAGTATGAGACAGATATGCTTTCTGAAAGTTTGTGCTATGCTTTCTAAAGCCCCACCAACACTTCTATTGTCAAAGTCAACCAATGAAGTAGGAACAAAGGCAACTTTCTGAAAATAAGAAAGACCTAGTGACTTTTTCTCAAAAATTCTCTGAACTTTGAGGATTTGTAATTAATGTTTATAATTTTAAAAGATATATATACATACATATATATATATACACACACATATATATGTGTGTGTATATATATATATGTATGTATATAGAAAGAGAGAGAGAAACACCAAATTACTTGGTTAAAAAATACACTCACAGGGCTGGGAAGGTGGCTCAGTGGTAGAGTGCTTGCCTTGCATGCATGAGGCCCTGGGTTTGATTCCTCAGCACCACATAAGCAGAAAAAAAGTGGCACTGTGGCTCAAGTGGTAGAGCGCTAGCCTTGAGCTGAAGAGTTGAGGGACAGCACCCAGGCCCAGAGTTCAGGCCCACGACTGGACCCCCCCCCAAAAAAAATACACTCACAGGGGCTGGGAAGGTGGCTCAGTGGTAGAGTGCTTGCCTTGCATGCATGAGGCCCTGGGTTCGATTCCTCAGCACACATAAGCAAAAAGAAAAAAGCCGGAAGTGGCGTTGTGGCTCAAGTGGTAGAGCGCTAACCTTGAGCTGAAGAGCTGAGGGACAGCGCCCAGGCCCAGAGTTCAGGCCCCATGACTGGACCCAAAAAAACAAAACAAAACAAAAATACACTCACAGCACAGTAGAACATAAAAGCTAAAAATTTCCATTCACTCTTTAAAATGTCTTATTGGAGATAACCAAAATGAATGTAATTATGAACAATTTCCACGAACATCACATTAAACACATGACCCTACTCCCTGCTTCCTTCCCTCCAAAGTAGGCCTTGGGGTATGGACTTTCCTGCCCTGCTGACGAGCCGCACACCATTCCATCATTGATAGACTCATTAACACTCACTGTTAGGAGGATTTCATGTGGAATTGTGCTATCAGAGCTGCTGTCGGTTGTCCCAGCCAGCAGCACTGGGCCTTGCTTTGTTCGTACTCCCTCCCATCTGAATGCTCCTGTAGAGCATCACAGACCACACACTTCTGTCACTTTTAGTGGCTACCAGGAACTTTCTCATGCCCCTTGTTAATGGACCAGTTTACTTGGCGCTCCCCCATCATGGGGAATTTCGGATACTCTACAATTTTTTGACCATCAGTTCAGGTCACAGCTGCTGAACCTCTCTGGAGCCAGGCTGAGGCCAGAGCACAAAGCCTCCTTTGAAAAGGCTACATCTGCTGGGTCTGGCGCCAGACACACACTGGCCATGCTAATTACAGTAACTCACCAGAGCAAAGAGCAGGAGCAAGGGCGAGAGGATCAGGGCTGTAAAGGTGTTGGACACCACCGTGGGGGGCCTCTTCTCAGGCTCTCGGAACAGGTGCTGCCGGGAGAAGACACATCAGGAAGACTTCAGGACCTGCCGCAGGGGCTGCCCTGTGTGCCAGGGAGGAGGAAATGCTCTCAGAGGCAGCACCACCTGACAACAAAAGGCTATTTGGCCTTATGCCGCTTGTCAATACCGGTTTCTGACCAAAGGTCTCCCTTCCCAAGGATACCTTGGTGGTCCTAGTTACTGCTTGGCCAACTTTTCTAGCTCAAACTCATTGTCATTCGGAGGCTGACACCCATTAAGTGGCAGGCATCTGAGTTGCAGCAAAGAGGGTGGCCAGGGCTAGAGATGGCTGGGGTAATCATCTGAGGCAGGACTCAACTTCAGAGAGCTTCTAGGTTCCTAGGTCAAATGTTGAAGCCTTACTTCCAATATAGATGGCATCAACCCCAAACTCCTCCTCCCCTCTAGCCACAACTCCAAGGATGCCCTAAACAAACTTTGCTCCTTACTCTTTCTGCCTAATTTCCAGAGTTAAAACCACAAGTCTGGGCAAGCATTTCTTAGCTATTGTTTTGCTGTTGTTTTGTTTTTCTCCCTGAGCAATTTGAGAAGTTCATATAGCCAGGGTAAAGGAGCAGAAGCAGTCAGTGATGGACTGGGTAGTCAGAGACTGTTTAGGCCCAGATGGATTGTATGGCTGTGAGATGAGGGCAAAGCACTTTACGTTTACCACTCCTTGTCTCAGCTTCTAGCTTAGAGCTGGAGGTGGGAAGGCATGGCCTTCCTGTGAGGACTACATGAAGTAGCGCTCTTTGACTCTGCTTTATGAGCTGCAACACACTGTTCACACTGAACCAACCTCCCTCCCCCCTCCCTGCCTTGTTCTAGTATTGGGACCTGAACTCAGGGTCTCATACTCCTTGCTTAGCTTTTTCTACTCAAGGCTGGTGCTCTACCAATGGAGCCACAACTCTATTTCTGGCTTTTTGCTGGTTAGAGATACAAGTCTTAGGGATTTTTTTCTATTTGTTTGTTTTTAAGATTTGTCCTGCAGGAAGTAGAGCTGTGGTTTGATTAACAGAGTGCTAGCCTTGAGCACAAAGTGGCTCTGGGATAGCATCCAGGCCCTGAGTTCAAGCCCCACACCAACAAAAAAAATAAAATAAAAAATTAATTTAAAAAAAAATTGTCCTGTAGGCTAAAGGTTTGCTTCCCTCCCCCACAGCCCCCACTTCTCCTCTGGGTTAGTAGATTAGGCCTTTGGGATATACCTGGATCTCCTCTTTGGGGGTAAAAAGGTTCTGGGACAGAACAGTGGAGGGAGCTTCTTCTTCAGGGAACTTGATGACCACATCAGCCTGAAAAGCAAGAACAGTCTTTAGAGGCCCAAGGCAGAGAAGGGAGTAAAAAGCCTCGTTAGGATGATAGTCCCTGACTTTCATCTAGGGCCATAACTGAAAAAGCTCCAAGGAGTCCAATCACTTTGGATCCATTAGGTGACAAATTGAGGCAGTAAAATTTTCAAGAACAAAATAAGTACTTGTTGAAAGTGCTTTTTAGAGCACAGGTTCCAATTTTCTACCACTATGGAAGAAAAAGGCCCATATAACTACTTAATACAAAAATCCTCGCTGGTACACTGGCGGTTACAGCTGTAATCAGAAAGTGCTTGGTGTCCCTGGGAAGTGCAATTTAGTCACATTAAAAAAAGAAAGAAAGGAAAATTCACTCTTGCTCAAAAGTAGCCTGAAGAGAAGAAAAGAAGGCTTGAACACAACAGGAACAGAAGCAGCTGCCCTCTGTCCTGCAGGAGGACCAGCCCCAACCTGAGGCCTCAACCTGGCTTCTCCCACCTCTCCACTCTATTACCTACTTCTCTCTATCCAGCTCATGGCTTCAACAGCCCTGACAGCCCATAGCCCCCACATACCATTCTGAGAAGTCCTGGCCCTTGCTTAACCCCTTGCTCACAGGCCTGAGCTACAGCTTTTGGCATCACATCCATCAAAAATGAGGCATGCAGAGAAAGAGCAGTATGTAAGGTGTAACCCCTTACAAAATGATAATTTTTGGCTTATTAGCATTTTGTACATTCTACAGTTCACTGTCCTACACCACCACCCTCAGCAATTACCAGAACTCCGTATCCCTAACAGAACAGCCTTATCTCTCCTATGAAGCTACACCAGCTCTTAAAGGCCAGGCTCTCATCCACAGTGCACCAAGTCTCCTTCAGTATAACAGTGACAGGAATTCACAGTACTAAACTCATGAGATTAAGTTTACATTTCATTCATTAATCAATATTTATTGGGGCCTCTACCATGTGCCAAGCCAGGTATGATTTAGAGATAGGATCCATTGCCTTGCCTCAGGGGAAGAGCCCTATGTCCCTGAAAGGAGCCTTTTGTGTCTGACCACAGCACATACCACATTCCAGAGAATTGGGTTCTTCAAAGTAGCATCACCGATGATTAAGTAGAGAGTGTAGATGCCCGAGGCAGAGTCAAACTCGATTTTTCTTTCAGAGGTGTCCAGTTCAAATTTATACACATTCTTGTTGTCTGGCTCAGCAACAAATACTACTTCCTGACCAGTCTTCTGGTTATGGAGTCGGACGAATGTCTAGATGTAACAATAATACAATCTGATCATTTCTAAACTTTCTGTGGGCCCAACACGGAAGCAACCAGACAGATTGTGAGCTCTTTCGCTACTGTGAGCACTAGGATCTGCCAGATTTTCCCTGAGAGTGGAAGGAGTGGCTACTCCACCCTAGTTCCGGCTCAAAGTCAACTTCTTGGTGGTATCAGGAAAGAAATGTGAACTAGGGGTCCTGCCAACTCTCTACAATTTAGAAGCATTCATGAATGCCCAGTTTGTGGATGATTTAAGCTCTTTGCTATTGCTGAAGTTTCTTCTTTCTGCCAGTCTTTTGGCCACTTCACTGCCCAATTAACTTCTTCACCAGAGGGTGAAAAGAAGGGAAATGAGGTGGAACTGGAAGAGGCCCATGTTCAATTTCCCAGTGGCCCTTAGCTAAAGATTTAGTAGAAGAGGCTTAGGTGTCAAAAGCCAGGCAGAGTTCTAATGGAGCAGAGCAACCCAGTGTCATGGAGCAGGGCCAGCTGTAAGACAGCAGTCTGGCTACCATACTTATTTATTACTGAGCAGGTTACTTAACCTCCTTAAGCCATGATTTCTTCACCTTTAAGGGTGAAGATTAACTTTTACATATGGTAGAACTGCTCTGCAATAATGTAAGCAGCCCAGCGCCAGTGGCTCATACCTGTAAATCGTAGCAACTCAGGAGGCTGAGATCTGAGGATCACGGTTCAAAGCCAGCCTGGGAGAGTCTGTGAGACTCTTATCTCCAATTAACCACCAGAAAACGGGAAGTGGTGCTGTGGCTTGAGCTGAAGAGCTAAGGGACAGGCCCAGGCCCAGAGTTCAAGCCCCACAACCATAACCACCACCACCAACAAAAAATAATAATGTATGCAAAGCTATATAGAGCCTGGTTATATGCTAGCTAGTTAACAAATAGTAGCTAATAATATTCTGTAATAATGAAACTCTCTAATGGCACAAGAAACTAAAGTTTCTGTATATCAGGACTACAGCCAAACTTAGTATCCATTCAGAGCTTTTCTTTGATTCAAGAGAGGTAGGTTGGTTCCAATTTATCAATCATAAGGCACAAGCCATGGTCACACTGCTAATGTTAGATGTACAGGAAAAGTGCAACTACATATACTTGGGCAACAAAAAAAGATCAAAGTATTTAGGGACAGTAGCCCGGAGATGTGGAAATCCCCAAAACAGTCCTGGCTGGAAATGGGACTGAGAAGCCCCGGTGCCTGGTTTTCTCCTCTATCAGTTAAGTGGTTGCTGAGCTCATCTGCAAAGTACCTTCAAGAGGGCTCTGAGCCATGGTTTCAAAAACAAATTAAGTTCAAGTTAAATTAAAAGCAAAGTCATATTTCATCACAAATTTTCTCTGCCCTGACCCAAATCCCCTTGGGTTTTTGTTTTTTGTTTTTTTCAGTCTGAAATCTGGGTCTGGGCGCTGTCTCTCAGCTCTTCAGCTCAAGGCTAGTGCTCTACCACTTGAGCCACAACACCACCTCCGGCTTTTTCTGCTTATGTGGTGCTGAGGAATTGAATCCAGGGCTTCATGTGTGCAAGGCAAGCACTCTACCACTGAGCCACCTTCCCAGCCCTAGTCTTGTTTTTTTTTAAAAAAAAATATGGAGCACTTCACAAATTTGCATGTCATCCTTGCACAGGGGCCATGCTAATCTTCTCTGTATCATTCCAATTTTAGTGTATGTGCTGCCGAAGCGAGCACTAGTCTTGGGTTTTGATATGTACTTCAGACTGGACCTGAACTCCCAAGTGCTGGAATTACAAGCATAGAACAACACACTGAATTTTTTTTTCTTTGTATTTTTTTTTCCTGGTGTTATTTGGTTGGCAAAGTCTTTCTGGGAGAGAAGAAAAATGCTAAGAGGTTCTGAAGTGCTTAAAGGTCAGTTAGCCAAGGCTAAGTGTCCTGACTGAATATGAGAGGAAGAGGGAGAGGACCAGAGAACTCCTGGAAATGTAGTGCTAAGAGTTAGTAAGTGTTTGAAAACCCGGGATAGCAGTGCTAGACACAAGAAACAGAACTTAGGGCTGGGAATGTGGCTTAGTAGTGGAGTGCTTGCCTAGCATGCATGAAGCCCTGGGTTCAATTCCTCAGTGCCACATAAATAGAAAAATCCAGAAGTGGCACTGTGGCTCAAGTGATAGAGTGCTAGCCTTGAGCAAAAGAAGTTCAGGGACTGTGCCGAGGCCCTGAGTTCAAGCCCCAGGACTAGCAAAAAAATAAACAAAAAACAAAAGAAACAGAACGATGAAAGTCTGTGGGTAAACCCACTAATGCTGTGGTCTTGCTCTGAAGCTAGCTGCTTCTTAGCACAAAGGCCTGTTGGCTCTTGCTAAAGATCAGTGTGGGGTACCTAAACCAAGCTGGCTAGCTTGCACATTCTTAGTTTTTCAGCCTTCAAAGTATTTATCTGAACCTTCCTTTCTACAGTACTTGACCTTTGTGTAGAGTGAAACAAGAGCAGCTTTTCTCAATCAAGTGGAATGATGGGTGAGAGGCAGGGGAACGTGTCTGAGTGCAAGGGGCCATGTTAGGATCCTGGGAAAACAGGCAAAAATCTTTTAAACAATTCTGTTTTCATGGTAGAGTGCATGTGTACTGGGCTCAATCTCTAGTACAAAAAAAAATTCTTTTTTCATTCTATGCATTAAAGAATCAAAGCCTACTGCTTGTATAATTCCGTATATAACGTATACATTTAAAGGGCTGCTTTTCAGAGCCCCAGAATAGAACGTCTACTTTGGCTAGAACAACAGCAACAAAAAATGGTTTGGGTCTCCTGCCTACTTTTCCTTTTACCAAAGTTATTCCAATACACTCCTTTAGTTTTCTTTAAAAAAAAAAAAAAAAGGTTCAACTAAGTGTTAATCTACCTAAATACCTCTTTATTTTCTAGTGCTGGTACTGGGCTTGGACTCAGGGCCTGGGTGCTATCCCTTAGTTATTTTTGCCTTTTTTTTTTTTTAATGGTTAATTGGAGATAGTCTCACAGACTCTCCTGCCTGAACTGGCTTTGAACTGCAATCCTCAGATCTCATCTCCTGAGTATTTAGGATTAGAAGTATGAGCCACAGGCACCTGGCTAAATACATCTTCTAAGTACTAGCTAATCTTTCATAAAGTGGTACATATTCCAAGTAAAGAGTCACAGCAATAAGAGAGGTGTGGAGCATGCAGGGAGAGTGAGAAGGGAGCAGGGTCAGGATGATGATGAGGGAGCATTTTTTCCCACTCCTGTTTACAGCACACTGATGCTCTGAAGTAGCCACAGACTTCAGGCCAGGAGAACTGAGGTGGGGAGGGAGGCTTTTTCCAGACCTGGTGAGGGGTGAGCTCAGCACCGGTGTTCACATCCACCAGCTGGAAGAATAGGGCAAAGTTCTGGTGACTGTCTGCAATAAACGTGCCCTTTGCTTTGGCTGGATAGGTCACTCTGAAAAAAGACATCACATAATCACAAGTCACATCACATTCAGACAGTATCAATTATCTTTGAGAAAAGGCAAAGCATGTATCTTTCTCTCCTCCTGCACCACCCATGTGGTAGATAGACTGTTGTAGACCTCCATCTCAACCACTAAAAGCTGGTCATGGTGCCTTAAGTGGGAGTGGCTAAATAGGATTGTAGTCCAGCCTGGCCCACGCATAAATATGAGACTCCCTCCCCATTCCCCAATGTCAAAAGTAACCAAGACAAAAAGGGCTCGGACACGGCTCAAATGGTAGAGCACCTGCCTAGCAAGCATGAGGCCCTGAGTTCAAAACCCCACTATGACACAAAAAATAAGCAATTCTGAAGACTCATTTGAGTTCAGCAGGACAGTGCTGTGACTCATCAGTAATGTTGTTCATGGAAAGCAGTGGGAAGAGAATGGTAGCCTCAGGCAAAATATCTGGCATCTCAGTTCTAAGAACCTAGGAAGTTTCCAACTAATTTCAGACCCACCATGAGCCAAAAAGTGATGCCATGAGGCTATTAACAGCAAATTCAGGAAATGTGATGACAAGACTGAAGCAGAATTAATATATTGCTTCTTCACTGAGAAAGAAACAAACTTGTGGACTAAACACACTTAGCCCCCTCTCCCTCCTTGGTTCTGCCACTCTGCATAGCTACCCAGCAGAATACCTGGAGACTGAGAACTTCTTAAATTTGGGGGTACTGGATGGATTGCTGCTGACCCAGAAATGCCAACTGGGCCAACCACTGCTGGCTCATGCCTATAATACTAGCTACTCAAGAGGCTGAAATCTGAGGATCATAGTTTGAAGCCAGACCAGATAAGTTATTTCCAATAACCCACCAGAAAACTGGAAATGGAGCTGTGGCTCAGAATGGTGGAACACTAGTCTTGAGTAAAAAAGCTCAGGGACAGTGCCCAGGCCATGAATTCAAACCTCATGACTGACAAAAAAAAAAGAAAAAGAAAAAGAAAAAAAATAAATGTCAACTGAAGGGTATGATGATTGGATATGTTCTTATCAGATTTGGAGCCTAGATCCCCTAGTGACCATGTAACATCTCATTTACCGGGTGGTCTTGGGTGCAATGCTCTGATCCTTGTCCACAGTGGAAAGATCAACATTTGTGATGCCAACTTCAGTGGAGATCTTGACTCTGAGCTAGAGCAAGGACCAGGAAACAAATCACTAAGTCAACTGGAATGTATACAGATAATGAACTACACACAGCCAAAATGTTCTATTTGGGGGGAGAGGAGGACAGAACTGGAGATCAATCCCAGAGCCTTGCACACAATAGAAAAGTAGTCTATCACTGAGCTACATTTCCAAAGTTTTTTATTCCTAAAGGTAAGCAAAGGCATGAGAAAGAAAAAAAATCCTAGGACAGGAGTCTTTTGAGGATCACAGGTCCTTTATGTAAAACTGACTCAGCCAGGTAGTATTTCCCACCTCCTCCATCCTGAGGCCTGAGACTCAGTCTTTGATTCTTATCTCTTCATTCCCTTCACTGCCATTTGTTAGATGGTATACAATAAAAAAGGAAAACTTTTTAAAATGTGGACTTTTGTGTGTCCTTTAAAACAGAGAAAATCCTTAAGCAGAAATGTTTAAATAATTCAGTTACCAAGTACTGATTCTAATAACAGCAAATAGAGTATTTGCAATGTGAAAGGCTCTGGCTTTCTAAGGATCATCTCATTTAATCTTTACAAGTTTGTAACAGAGTGCTATTTCAGATGAAGAAATTAGAGAATAGTTATTAAGCTGCTTGCTCTTAGCTAGTAAACAATGGGTGCCAGGATTCAAACTCACACAGTCAAAATCCACCATGTGCTTAGTTAGATCACATTAATTACTTCAGGCTGGCCTCAAATTCTCATTCCTCCTGCCTTAGCTTCCCAAGTGCTGGGATCATAGGCATGCAACAACACACATGACTATGGTCTTCCCATTCTCCTTCTGCCTATGTGATAGCATTCGGCTCCCTTAGCCACATGGAGTCAGGTGTGGCCACATGACTTTCTCTGGCTGAGGAAGTACAGTCATTTCTGGGTGAAAGCTTTAATAGTGTGCACGACTCCATTCTCCTCTGACATGAACACAGTGTTCAGAAAGGGACAAGCCTTCAGCCCAGCTCGTAAGGTAAGATGGCATGAAGCAAAGCCTCTGGCTGACCCCCTAAAGACACTTAGCACAGGCAACAGGAAAGCTCAGTTGTTTGATGTTGGTGAAATTTGGAGTTATATTAGAACAATACAGTCCATCTTGACTCTTTCATTATAACTATTTCCACAAGGAGGAAGATAGCTAAAGCCAGTAAATAAAAAACTTAAAAGCCAGATTGCAATATAAATATACAAAAGAGAAAGTATATAAGTCTATTACTGGAAATTTCTGAGTTAAAAATCTAAGTTTGAGGGGCTGGGAGGTTGGCTCAGTGGTAGATTGTTTGCCTTGCATGCATGAGGCCCTGGGTTCGATTCCTCAGCACCACATAAATAAAAAGCCAGAAGTGGCGCTGTGACTCAAGTGGTAGAGCACTAGCCTTGAGCTGAAGAGCTGAGGGACAGTGCCCAGGCCCAGAGTTCAGGCCCCACAACTGACCCAAAAAAAAAAAAAATCTAAGTTTGAATGCACAAATTATGCAGAGCCAAGGTGCCTTTATGTGCAAACATTGTGAGCTCACAAATATTTGACAGGCTTGAATGCAGTACTCAAGGGAATCCTCGCCAGATCTACCCGTATATAGCTTAAGTCAAGACAAAGGAACAGAGAGGGAGGGCAGGGCAAACAGATGGAGAGCTTAAGCATTTTTCTAAAATGCTGTGTGAAGGTGTGACAGCCTCAAATCACTGCAAAAATATTAAAAAGGGGTAAAGAATACCTCTTTTGACAGCCTTCTTTTCTGCTGCCATGTCTTTATTTTGTGAAAACAGCCTCAATTACCAGCTTGAACAAGGTGTCTGTTTTGCTTAAAACTTTTTGACTGCCAAGATTTATGATCAGAAGCTATAAGGACACTACCATATACTTTAGGATATGTGGCCACCTATTGGCAGAATGATATTCAGCATCATTACCTGTCAATGAGTCTTGGCAACTGGATGGCTTATGACAATGGAGGAAGTAGAAGACAGACACTGGGCAGAACAGGAATCCTCGCCCCAACAAGAGCTAGAAGCTTCTACTTTGTCTCTCTGGGCTCTCCAAACAGCCTCACAACTCACAGGACTTAAAAGTAAGTTTAGTTGTATGAAGTTCAGCCCAGAAAGGTGCTGAAGGCATTTCCCTTTGAAGACAAGCCAGCAGAGAGCTAAAGCAAAGCAACAGCCTAAGAGCTCTGACTGGGCTAAGCTGCAAACCTACCTCTCCTATGGCTTATAGACTGGTACAGGGAACATACAGGGATAGTGAGGTGCTCCTTCTGTCCCACAGGTAAGCCACAGTTACAATGAGATGCAAAGTGCTATGAAGGTGGAAACGCAAGGGAAGATACTATGACCAAAGCCACTGGAGGTGGCCTCTGACTAGGGAGGGAGTGGAAAACCCCACAGCCAGAAGAGGTTTGGAGGGCTCAGCACCCTCCCATTCGGGAAGAAGTAGAAAATCAACAATGCTCTATGCTATGAAAACAATCTGACTTCATCTGAATGACTTTGTAATCTTTACCAACTTTAACTAGATTATTATGTCCTCTTCATTCTTTCTCTTAAGGACTCATTCATTGATTTGTAAATTTGATCTTAAATTCACTATCCCACCTAAATGTCCATACACAGAAAACATAGTAAGTAATGGTATATGAAACATTATGAACAATTAAGAAAAACAAGATAGTGAGCACTAGTGGCTTTTGCTTGTAACCCTAATCAGAAGGCTGAGATCTGAAGATCTCACTTTGAAGCCAGCCCAGGTAGAAAAATTTATGAGATTCTTAGTTCCAATTAACCAGCAAAAAGCCAGAAGTAGAGCTGTGACTCAAATGGTATAGTGCCATCCTTGAATGAAAAGCTAAGGGCCTCAATGCCAGCACACATAGTGGAGGGGAAAAAAAAAAAGATATATAAGGGAGAGAGGAAAGGAGGGAGGTAGGGAGGAAGGAAAGGAGGGAAGCTGGGAGGAAGGGAAGGAGAGAGGAAGAGAGGGAGAGAGAGGGGGAGAGAGGGAAGGAAGGAAGAAGGAAGGAAACTAATGAACAAGGCAGATGTGTGTGGAAAGACAAAGAGCTATCAGCTTTGACTTTTGATTACACAGCCCATCTAGGTAGCATCACTTTTTGTCAGTGAATCTGGGACAGGAATGTTGGAAGATGAGGGATGGTACAGCCTTCAAGTTAAAAGACTCTCTCTCAAGAGTAAAGCTGGGGTCCTCTATGTGACTCAAAGCAAGAAATATAACTCTTTATCAAATGGTCCCTCTGTCTACATAAGAAAGGATAGGTGTGTCTTCACACACTAGCTTTGCCCCCGCCCCCCTTCTTTATTTTTCAGTGCAGGGGACTGAAGCCAGGGCCTTGCACAAGCTAGGTAAATGTTATACCATTTGGGCTATGTTCCTGGTCCCCTATTCCATTTTTGTTTTTTAAAGCAAATGCAGGAAAAAACTATTAATGATGGATTCCTCTAAGGAGGGAGACTGGACTAAGGAAGTGGCATGAGGCTCTTCTTTCATTATATATCTTTCTATGCTTTGGAAAAAATTAAGCATAAATGTATTTTACTCCTTCTAAAATGTAAGAACTGCGGCTGGGAAGGTGGCTCAGTGGTAGAGCGCTTGTCTTGCATGCATGAGGCCCTGGGTTTGATTCCTCAGCACCACATAAGCAGAAAAATAAAATGTAGGAATTATTTCAGCAATGAGATTGTGGGTCACATATAGTCTTCATCATACACTTTTCTGTGTTAAGTATCACCCAATAATATGATGCCAAAAAAAAAAATCGCTCTTCAAGAAATGGAGACACAAATAGATGTGTAAAGGGTGGCGCAGGGCTCCTGAGTGCATCCTAATCATAGTGACAAGGACATTTTCAACTTTGAGGCTTTCCCACAGACTCCTGACCATCACCCTTCAGTAGGAACATCCACTGAGGCCAGCTAATGCAGATCCCACTGCAGTTTGTTCTGAAGACCCTGAGCCTTTCCACATTGCACAGACACATGGAATGAGCCCAGGGCAAGCTGCAGTGAACTGTAGTAATTTTTGGTTTGTTCTCACTCCTATTGAAAAGGCCCCATAAGTAACAGCCTTCTTTGCTGCACTGGAACACTGTAGCGCTATTCATGAACACAGAACACTTGAAAACAAATGCTTTTGCTCCTAAACTCTCACTACTAATAGACCTCTGCAAACACTCAACAGAAAAGTGTTTTTATGTCACTCTTTTAAAGCACACTAAGTGGTAAAAACCATCATAACTTTTTCAAAGCCTCATTTTAAAACAATTCAGTGTAGAATCCCTGTTGGTTATCTGCTTCTTCCTTGAAGCCAACACTTTGGAATTAATGTTCATAATAGGAAAGAGACTTGTTTCTCTAATTTCAATGCTGCTAAGCCTGCTTTATACAAGATCCTGCCAATCCTTTCTTTGCCTACACTCTGTGCCACACATATCTTAAAAAATGTTTTAATGCCAGAAAATGGCAGTTTTTCTGTTGGGAGAAATAACCTCCCTGTTTAGCTACTACTGTCAAAAATGATGGTGCATTAGGGGCAATTAATGCGAATGAAAGCTTCTAAAACCCATGCTTCCCCTGATAGGCAGTCCAATGTCAATGGGTACTATTATAGGTTTCCACATGAAGCCACCATTAATGCACTCTGACCAATGTCAGGTCTCTCTGGGGAAAGCAAACTGGACTTGCTGACCAGCTTTTAGGCTCTAAGTATGGCCATTACTAAACTTACAAAGTAAAGCTTGCATATATGGCAGCAGTCAGACACAGACACCTACACAGAGAGGAGATTTTGTAAGTGTTTTTTCCATCATCAGGAAGGAAAAAGACAGCAAATGGCCTTAATAGAAGCTTATTATCATTGCATGAACAACAGCTATTAGCCGCTTTTGCTATTTCCTACTTAGATAATTTCTCCAACAGCCAAAGAAACACTTGGACAAATACCAGATTTGGTGTTACAAAAATCGAAGCTGTTATAGTAATCAAAGCAGTACGTATTGGCATAAGAACAAAAATATGGATTAATTGAACAGAATTTCAACTTTAAAATTTATTAATATGTATAGGTGTATATATGTATACACACACATATGCAGCTGAGTTTTGTTTTTGTCTTTGTTTTTTTTGTTATTGGTCATAGGGCTTGAACTCTGGGCCTGGGCCTGAGTGCTGTCCCTCAGCTCTTCAGCTCAAGGATAGCACTCTACCTTTGAGCCCTAGCGCCACTTCTAGTTTTCTGAATGGCTTATTGGAGATAAGAGTCTTACAGCCTTTCCTGCCCAGGCTGACTTTGAACCATGATCCTCAGATCTCAGCCTCCTCAATAGCCAGGATTACAGGCGTGAGTGCCCAGCTTGCAGTTGAGTTTTAAGAAGAATGCCAGGGGGCTGGGATGTAGCTCAGTGGCAAAGCGCTTGCCTAGCAAGCGCAACGTCCTGGGTTCGATCCCCAGTACCAAAAAAGAAAAGACAAAAAAAATACAGTTAAAAAAAAAAAAAACCCAAACAAAAGAAGAATGCCAGGAACATTCAAGGGGCAAAGAACAGACTTCAACAAATGATGACAGGACAACTGAATATACATATACATAAGAATGAGGCTGGATCCCCCCAGAGACAAAATTATAAAATGTTTATAGTAGTAAATCTTTATGACCATGGGTTAGGCAATGGTTTCTGAAATATATCATTTAAAGTACAAGCAACAAAAGAAAAACAATTTCCTTCATCAAAATTAAAATCTTTTAGCTGAATGTGGTGGCACAGGTCCATAATATTAGCTACTTGGGGCAGAGAAGGAAGAACTGTGAGGTTCAAGACCAGCCTAGGTAGTTAGTGAGATACTATCTCAAAAACAAAATATAAACAAAGGGCTAAGGCAGTGGTAGCTCAAGAGACAAAGTGCTTGACTAGCAAGTGCAGGCTATAGGTTCAAACCTCAGAACTGAGAAATAGATTAAAATCTTTCCTGTTTCCAAAGGTAACACAGAAAATAAAAAAGACAATCTGCAGACTGAGAAAATAATTTGCCCTATGAGGGACATGTGGCCCAAGCCAAAACATATTAAAAAACTTACAAGTTAATGATCTGAAAAAAAAAAAGTAAGAATATAGAATGAAAGCTGGAGGTATGGCTCAAGTGAGAGGGGTCTGCCTAAGCAAGCATGGAGTATAGAGTTCAAACTCTTATTAATGGCAGGGAGAGACAGACAGACGGATTATAGACTACAAGAAATTAAAAGACCAAAAGTTGTAGATGTTATAATGTAACCCAAGCAAACTAAAACTTCCTAAGTAGCATAGGCTTACTTCAAACTTGTGATCCCTCTATCTTTACTTTCTGAGTGCTGGAATGAGCCACACACCAACTTAAAAAAGTATTTTTATGAAGGGCAAAGCATCTAAACAGATATTTCTCCAAAGCAGATATAAAATGAACAAGCACACGAAATATCATTAGCCACTAGGGAAATGAAAATCAAAACCATAATACCTTCATACATACTAGGATGGCTATAATCAAAAGACAAACAATAACCCTTTACAAAAGCACAAAACATAAAATATGTAGCTGCTTTGAAAAAGTTTATTCACTTCTCAAAATGTTAAAGAGTTATCATCTCATCCAGATATTCTTTTTGCCTATGGGGCTGGAAATATGACTTGGTAGAGTGCTTGCCTAGCAAGCATGAAGCCCTGGCTTGTATTCCTCAGTACCACATAAACAGGAAAAGCCAGAAGTGGTGCTGTAGCTCAAGTGGTAGAATGCTAGCCTTGAGCAAAAAAAGTCAAAGACAGTGCTCAGGCCCCGAGTTCAAGCCCCACAACTGACAAAAAGAGAAAGGGGGAGAGAAAGTGGGGATAGTGAAAGAGGGAGGAAAGGAGGAAGGGTGGGAGGGAGGGAGGGAGGGAGGGAG